TTTCCAATGCCCGTATATCTTTTTTGAGATGAGGTGACCATATCTGTATACAGTATTCAAGATGTGTGCCTACCATGGTTTTGTATAGAGGCAATAAGATATTTTCTGTCTTATTCTCTATCCCTTTTTTAATGACTCCTAACATTCTATTTGCTTTTTTGATTGCCGCTGCACACTGAGTGGATGTTTTCAGAGAACTATCCACAATGACTCCAAGATCTTTCTCTTGATTAGTTGTAGCCAAATTAGTCCCTATCGTATTGTGTATATATAGTTGGGATTATTTTTTTCAATGTGTATTACTTTACATTTATCAACATTAAATTTCATTTGCCATTTTGTTGCCCAATCACTTAGTTTGGTGAGATATTTTTGAAGCTCTTCACAGTCTACTTTGGTTTTAACTATCTTGAGTAGCTTGGTATCATCTGCACATTTTGCCACCTCACTATTTTTCCCTTTTTCTAGATCATTTATAAATAATGTGAATAGGATGACTCCCAGAACAGACCCTTGGGGGACCCCACTAGTTACCTCTCTCCACTCGGAAAACTTACCATTTATTCCTACCCTTTGTTTCCTGTCTTTTAACCAGTTATCAATCCACAAAAGGACCTTCCCTCTTATCTCATGACAACTAATTTTACTTAAGAGCCTTTGGTGAGGAACCTCGTCAAAGGCTTCCTGGAAATCTAAGTACACTATATCCACTGGATCCCCTTGTCCATATGTTTATTGACCCCCTCAAAGACTTCTAGCAGATTAGTAAGGCATGATTTCCCTTTACAGAAACCATGTTGACTTTCCTCCAACAAATTATATTCATCCATGTGCCTGACAATTTCATTCTTCACTATAGTTTCAATTAATTTGCCCGGTACTGACGTTAGACTTACCCGTCTGTAATTGCCAGGATCACCTCTAGAGCCCTTTTTAAATATTCATGTCACATTAGCTATCTTCCAATCATTAGGTACAGGAGCTGATTTAAGGGATAGGTTACAAACCACAGATAATAGTTCTGCAATTTCCCATTTGAGTTCTTTCAGAACTCTTGCATGAATGCCATCTGGTCTTGGTGACTTGTTACTGTTAAGTTTATCAGTTTGTTCCAAAACCTCTTGTTCAGTCTTAGATGTTTTCAGCAGTCATCTTAGGTACAAACCATGGGTTTCTTGACATCTGGCAGCAACCCCTTTTGCCTTTATATGTATTTTGCCCAAGATGGGAATCCTTTGTATTCAATTCAAACTTTTCTCCACTAGAGTGGAAAAGTACAGCATTGAACATGGTTTCCAGCATCAGGTGGCCTGGTCACATGTCTTTGTAGGACCAACCATAGTCCAGGCTCATAGGAGAAGCAAGACTGTTCACAGCACATTGTTCGAGTTAGACATATTCATATTCAAAAGCATATTTCCATAAAGAATATGGGGGTGCAACATCACACTGAGGTTCACATCCTTGCACTAAATCAGGCGGTGTGGGAACTTGCACCTGTATATCACCAATATGGTAATTCTGGGTAGACCTGAAAAAACATAGTAGGGAAATTTTTCCTATAAGCTTTTATGTTCTATGAAACATATTAGTTCCCTTAAAATGACATTTTTTGATTAAAAGAAATCATAAATATTTTGACCAGCCCTTCCCCAACTCATTGGTCACTTTTGAAAAATCTTAACCGGTAAGTATTCATCTATGATGACATTTAAATTATATCTGCCTTCTGTTTCATATTATAGATTTCTGGTAACCTTTCATCTCTGCTCCAAATGTTTCATTTTAATGCACTTCTATTGTTCATATGTTGTTTTAAGTGGGTATTATATAGTTTTACACTGGATTTCAAGCTTTTGAGTGGTATTTCGGGCACTCATTCATTGCATAACTTGCTTTGACGCAGGTCTGGAATGTCCTACTACAGAAACAATACAGCTAATGTCTGTTATGGTCTTGCCTTATTGGCTTAACTTAAAAGAGTGCTCATATATTGTAGAAGAACTAAGAAGTACATAAATCTTCTTTGACGTGAAGTGTAAGATTTGTTTCCCTCTTTGTAAACTGCTGGACAAAAATATCTCTTTAATTACAGTGATGACTTGAAAAGTTCCAAGTTGCATAATAAGTGCCTAATTTTTCAATGTTTTCTTTATTGTAAATGTCATAAGAGATGCTTCTTACAAAGCATGAGTGAAATTGCACATGAATCTTTTAAGAAAGCTAGAGATGTGACATCCTGGAATAGCTCAGTAGGGAAATATTGTGTACTTGATTTGGAACCAGATAATTTTCTAAGATTGTTACACTCATTCCTGAAACTATTACAGCTACTTTTTAAAGTTTTAATCTTATAGCTTGCCACGAACTAAATGGTCATGTAGACAAATCTCTAGAACTCCTGTTTAGGGTAACTAGGTAGCTCAAGCCACTAGTAATAGAATATGGACCCTTTCATCTCTACATCACTAGTTCAAATTCAGCCCAGGTTGATAGACACTGATAGTCATCACCTGGTAGCTATCTGATATATTATGAAAAGAATTTGTGGTCTCGGTCCATTCACTGTTGGACAGGTGTCCATGTCACCAAAAATACCACTTGTCTCACCTATGCTAGTGTAGGTGTAAGGAAAATCAGACCCACTGTCTCAAAGTGGTTGAGAGCATGTTCACAGATCACAGATGGTATTTGTGTTTAGTGCAGGCCCACCAACAGGGAACAAAGGGGATAGTTTACTTAGGGCCTAGCAATTCAAAGGGGCCTGGGGCTCCTGACTACCGCCACTGCTACTGCAGTGGCGGCTGGAGCCCTGGGTCCTTTATACCGCCACCAGAGCACTACATCACACAATCTCTACGGTTCTCCCTCCTTTTCTGGGAGCATAGAACCAAGCCTCCCCCTCACCTTGCACAGGGGCCTGCAGTAGCTGTCAGCTCCTTTGCTTTGGTGTTTTAACGTCTGCATCATATGCATATTCAGAGGGCTCTGATACTCTCAAACTCAGACCTCTAAATATCAAACCTGAGTCTGAGAGCTTCTCCCACTACCTCTGCTGAAGAGCTCTTCTCCTCTTCCTTTTAGGGGAGCATCCTTCTACTCTCAGATCATCAGGGTATTTTGCTGCCCTTTTCCTGGGTCTTCAAGGGCAGCTGTCAACTCCTTCCTCTTTCTGTCCTTTTCAAGAGAAGACCAATAGGCTCAGTGCACCCTAAATCTAAATAAGTATCTTTGGGGGAAACAGGAAATGATCTACATCTTTCAATACTCCACCAGTACTGACTCTTTAACACTCGAAAGCCCAGACCATCCCAGAGTGTACTCAAGATTCAGCCATCAAACAAGGTTACTCATTGGTCCAATTTCACCTTGTGTGATCTAGGCTATAGAAGTTAAAAGTGTAGCTTTTAGCAGGAGCAAGAGGGGTGCTTGGATGTGCAGTTGCTGTCAGGAGTGGGGGTAGAAACAGGCAGAGCTGACCAGCTTTCAGTAGAGGATGGGCCACTCAGCTAACCCTGAAGTTCTGGGAGGGGACCATCTGGCCATGCCCTGAAGACAATGGAGCTGAAGGGGCCTTTTCCTCCATCTTCTCAGTGGGAAACTACATCAGAATCTGAGCTTTCGTTTAGAAAAACAAAACTAGGTTTTTAGTTGTCGTGGTTGTGAAGAAAACATGAGACACATGTTCACCAATACAGTGACATCTGCATGAGTTTGCCAGCAATCTAAAATAATAGCTCTGAGGGATGAGTTCATTCCAAGACTCACTAACTCTGGTGGGGCTCTGCCAAGACCTCACAAACAGCAGACTCATGGTATGTCTGTACTAAAAACACTGCAGCAACACAGCCTCATTCCACAAGGAGTAACGGTAGTTCGAACTAGGAAGCCTAGTTCGAACTACCTAGTTCGTGCCGCGTGTAGCCGCGCGGCACGGGGTTCGAATGAGCGGGGATTTAAAAATGGCGGCTCCCCGCTTATGCAAATGAAGCCCGGGAAATTCAAATCCCGGGCTTCATTTGCAAGTGCGGTATGCCTACATTACCCTCCTAGTTCGAACTAGGAGGGTAGTGTAGACATACCCTAACTGACTGCTGGGTAAGTGCAGGGATTCCCACTAGTGGCCCCTGACTGTGTGGGACAGGCAACCCCTGCTGTTGCCCCTGCTGTGTCCAAAATGATGGAGGCCCTGATTGCCACACCTGCAGGGGAAAGAGGCCTCTGCCCCTTCCACTATCACTTCAGATGGAGGGTTGAGCTGGAAGGAAAGACTGGCAGGCGGCTGCATATGATTAGGTTATTATGGGCCTAGGGGCCCATATTGTCTTAATCTGTCCCTGTTCTCCTGTGAAGGTAGGAGGCAAGAGTGGCTGGCAGGGAGAGCTAGAGGTGCATTATCATTTCTCCTACAGCTCTCCCTCACCAAAGCATAGGGGCTGAATTGTCATTTCACACATTATGTGACATGCCCTTCTCTAGCAGCCAGGGCAGCCTGTTTCAAATGCTCTTAAAAATAAATCAGTCAGAATACTCATTTCGATTTGTGTGTTCAACAAAGCCGCATGAAATTCTGCCTTCTGGATTTGAGCTAACCTGCAGATTTGGTGACAGTGCTCTGCCCTCTCTGTATGAGCCTAAAGGAGCTTTGGGTTTCAGAGAAACCTAAGCCCATGCACTCTACTTTGCTAACAATAACAGCCTTGACTAGCCACTTGACCTCTTCTGCCACAATAATCTTCACACTTTTTTCCTTGCCTCCCTTTTCACGTACAGTACACACAGCACCCGGATAAAAATAGCTTTTATCTGTCTTTTCAATTACATGGGAATTCTGTGCATATCCTTGGTATATAGTGTTGCAAATGCAGTTGCTGCTTAAACCTTGTAAATGTATCCATGACAAAAGTTTTTGTTTCCTTTAATACAAATTAAATTCTAAGAAAAACAACTAGCCACAAGCATAGGCAATCTTATTTTCAGCTCACGTTCTACTTTTGCAGGCCACGTACAAGCCATTGCTGAAGCAAGTGGTAGAGGAGATATTCAATTCTGATCGACCTGACCCTGTTGATATTGAACACATATCTGCAGGCCTCACTGATCTTCTGAAAACTGGATTCAGTATGTTCATGAAGGTAAAGTGATCATTCCAAGTTCATATATAAAATCTGCACCTCTCCATAATTAAACAGCTCAGCTGCTGATATTCTATATGGTTGTCTTCTACCAGCTACCCAGGAAGTGGTACACAACTGTGTTTGCCTTTGTCCTTGTCAGGAGCTCCATGTGTTTCTATTTTCCCTCATTCAGTTTTCCAATGTTCCCCAAAAGCAAGAGGTTCTGCCTTGCCTAGAACATTCACTGAAATTTTGCAATCAAATGTGCCATTCAAAAGTTATTGTGTTAAATACAGACAGGCAAATACAATTGTCAGAGTTGAGTATAAGGCCCCCCAACCTGTGCCAAAAATGCTTTGTACTTGCTATCAGTTTATAAGAGGGATTCTTGTTGTGTTAGTATAGAGTAAGTTGTTATCAATCCCAAAGTGTAACATACCTGTGCCTGATGTTCGTTTCTCTGCCCCCCAATTGCATCTGCATTTTCAAAAGAGCCAGCTGCCAATTTAGGTGCCAAAATGAAGTAGCCAGAGCTAGCACCCAGCAGCTTCCACTATACTCAGAACCCTGATGGTAAAGTTACTGTCTATAAAAATACACGATGTGAGGGTTGACAGACCTGAAAACTGACCCACAGTTCTTTGTTTCTGGAAGATCTTTCCATACCTGTGTGATTTCTAAAAAACAATCCATTGCTGTAACTCCAAAAAAGAAAGAACAAGAACAGATATTCCGCTATCAACATGTATAAATGAACTGGTGCACACACAATATTTGAAATGACTGGTTTAATATCCTGAAGGTTTCCCTGTAATTCAGGTCTGCATGTATTTGATTTGTATTTCCTTGGAGTTTTATTTGGGGGGAGGGGTTGTTTTTTTATTTTTGAAGCAGGAACATAATTTTTTTTCTAAAAACACGTGTAGTCTCCAGCATGGTTCTCTCTAAGGTGCGTGTCTCTGTGGGTACACACAAAATATTTTACTCCTGCTTACCTCATCAACAGAGCCACACTGCAGCACTCTGCTTCCACGATGTGGAAGGTAAGCTGGTGGCAGTGGCCAGAAGAGTAGGGGCCAGGGTTGCATGGTGGCTGCTAGGAACTGGGGCTGGAGCCACAGGCTGCGTGGTGGTAGACGGAGCCCGTCCCAGCCAGAGTTAGGGTTGCGTAGCAGTGGATGGGGCTGGCCCCAGAGCTAGGGCTGCGTGGCAGCAGACGTGGCCAGTCCTGGAGCTAGGGCTGCATAGCAGCAAAGGAGGCTGGTCCCAGAGCTAGGGCCATGTGGCAACAGCCAGAGCTGGAGTCTTTGCCGGTCTCGGAGCTAGGGCCACATGGCTGTGGCCAGAACTGGTCCCAGAGCTAGGGGCTACATAATGGCAAATGAACCCATTCCTGGAGCAAGGGACGCATGGTGGTGGCACGAGCTGGAATTAGGTCCGCATGGCAGTGGACAGAGCCGGTGCCAGGGCCAAGAGTGGGTGCAGCAGCAGTATTTGATCAGTAAAGAAAGGATTAACTCCGGGTGAGTGCTCCCTGCCCCTATGCACAAGTTCTTCAAGTAAGAGCTGTATAAATAGCTGCAACAGCTGCTTGGGAGACTGGATGGGAGAATGCTGTTGGGAAGATTGGTCTCCATGCATCAACCCCCAACTTCTTCTAATTACTTTCTTATTTTATTAATTAACTTTTTTCTTGTTTAAAATACTAATCCTGGAGAAATGCCTCCTCCCCCCCCCCCTCCCCCACTGACTGAGGCAAAAAAATCACTGTAGTAGGGCACTTTATGATGTAACTTGGCCTTGGAAAAAAGGCCTAAATGGCAGCATCTGTGCTTGGGTTCCAAACTCTGCCATTCCTGTTGGTGCTGTGTGATGTGCTACTCCAGGATACAGTCATTCTTCCAAAAAAGTGAGCTGACTCGTCAGAGATGGATTCCTGTGTTCAGCTTCCCCTTTGGCCAGTGACTAGGGTGGTGTGGGGGAGAGGAGGTGTTACTGCAATGCAGCAACTCACAGTCAGAGAGCAAAAACCAGAGGGGATCACTGATGGGGTTAATTTCCCCAGCACAAGATAGATGATCTGAAAGCAAAACTGTACTTCAAAGCACAGCAAAGAAGAACACACACTAAAAATGCCATTATTAGCTTGGCAAGATATTATCCCCTTTTCCATTTGCAACAATTAATACAGAGATATGTAATCTGAGTGAAAGCTTTTCTCTTCTCATGACCTGGTTTCTCTCCTGGCAGATCCTACTCTGCCAGCACCATCCTGTACCAACAGCATCACTTTTTTCATTTCTTGCTACAGAAATATTTGAGTGATGGAGAGGCAAAGAAATAAGGGGAGATTAAAGAGGGACACCACATGAATTCTCTTCTTTTGCAGAAAAGGAGAAAGGGGAGTGTTGGGAAACAAATTCATTATTTCAGCATAGTATTTCTTTTCTCTGTAAAATTTAACCTAGGTGAAAGATGTAGGACTGAAAGGCCTGGAGACTGTGCTCTCTATTTAGCCATAGAACAGCACAGGCAGTGCAGAGCTCCTCACATATGCTCACCCACGCCCCTGCCCACTTCCTTTTCCCCACTTGTCCTGGGGGCTCTCTGCCCCGTCTGGAGGTGTCCTTTCCATGGCTGAGAAGACAGTTCAGTCTGCCCATCAGTTCTCTCCTGACATTGCCAAGAGAGCTACTGAGGGGCTGCTGTTTTGGTAGGCGCTGTGTGAGATGTGCTCAAGTTTTATCTGAAACTTCCTCACAGGCCCTTCTTTGGTGAACAGATGCTCTCCCTTGCCTTTGCAATGCCCTGGAGACATGTGTGCAAGCAGAGGAGTGCTCCCTTTCCGTTTCAGTGAACAGCAAGAGTCCCTGCGTGTGCAGCTTCACATTATTCAGCTGCAGAATCCCTCCCAGACTCCTGCGCACAAACTCAGTGCCTACAAAGGGGCATGCATTCATGAGATGTCATGAGGGTGATTTTAACACACATACACCAGAACCTCAGGAAGGCTGCACAAGATTTAGTTGCCTTGCTCAGCCACTCATGAGTCCTGAATGTACAGGCCACCCTGACACAGAGCTGTCCTGCTAGACTGCCTGTGCACTCTGGAAGCAAAGAGCACTATTTGTCACCTTTCTTATACAGTATTTGTATGAATAGACATTTAAGATTTGAAGAATGCCTATGAGGTGATCAAATCAGACAAGGGCAATCTGCACTTAATTCATCAGAGAGCTTTAGCTCTGATTTATGTCTTTGTGCAGAACAAGCATTCCAGGTATCTGCATTTCCTAAGTTGGCTATTTATCTGTAATAAATAAACAGAGTGAAGGGCAGTGGTGAAGAGACACGGGATTGACTTCACCTCTGATCCAGAATAAATATAGCCCTGAGACACAATGTGAATGGAGAGAAATATTCAGTAAGCTGTTGTCTAGGTGTATAATGGAGAGTGTATCCTACGGTGACAGACCAACACCAGCTTGGGTGAACAGCTTTCTCTTTCCTGAGTATTAAAAAAAAAAAAGGCCAAACCTAAGTCCAGCATAATCAGGCAAGCACCTGGAGTCAATTAGAACTTTCTAGAAGCCACAGGCTAATTAGACACCTGCAGCCATAAAAGGTCTCCCCTAAGCAAGGAAGGGGGTGAAGGAAAAGAGTGAAGGACAGGAAGTGTTGTGTGCAGAAGATGTGTGGGTGTGGGTGTGGGTGTGGGTGTGAGCTGAGGACTGAGGAGCAGGCACCAAAGGAAACATACTGGGAGGGATCGTTTGGGGAGGTGGCCCAGGAAAAGGCTGCCAGATTGTGGGTGGCAGTGACCCTGCCTGTTGTTGCTGCATTGAGGTACCTGAGCTGGAGCCCAGAGTAGTGGTTGGGTCTGGGTTCCCCACAACATCTCAACCTCTTCCTCGAGCAGGGAGATGAGGACTCCAGAGGAGATTTTACCCCAAATTTATGGACAAGCATGTAATGAGTATGTCTCAGTAGGCTGTGTCTCCTGCCTCTAGTAAAGAGAAAGAGGCCATGTGGAGGGCCACAGCGAGCCTCTGAGGCCAACACTGTCCATCAATAGTGCAAGGCCCACAGGGCATAGCTGGAGCTTTGCCACACTGACACAAGCTCAGAAATGTTAGTCTGAAAGGCCAATTAACATAGTTCTCTGAAAGGAGAGCCTGATTTAATTGAGGAGGAAGCTCAACTGAGGGAGGCTCTAGTAGAGGGCTATAAACAGAGGAAGTTGGCTACTGAAAATGTTGCATGTTTACATTTTTTAATTTAACTTCATATTAAATAAACATTTTTAAGTCACGCACCTTTGTCTGTGAGAGAGGCAACTTTTAAAATCTTGTATATTTTCACTTGTCCTTGTAGTAATGTAATAAATAAACTTGCTATGTTTGAGTCATTCTAGGCTTTTAAGTTTATGGTCTTTCAGCAACATACACTTACCACCTTAAATGCCTGTAAATCTGCTAGTAATATAAAGCAAATATAAATGCATAACAGATGTGCATGTATGAATATTTCATGGACACAAAACTGTCATTGCATCCCTCCATTTTCTCCTGTGCATGTTGCTTACACCTGTGGCTGGTTGGCAAGGTGCTTCATTACTATGTGAGAGATTCTGAATGAAACAGTTAGCCAGATTCATCATATAGGAGACGTTTCACAGTTTACCCCCCTTTTTTTCCATGACTGTCATGTTCCATGATTATTTCACAAGAAGCCTTAAATTCGTTGTCCTTATGTGATGTGTCAAACAAGTGGCATTTGATGAGTTACGGGTTAAGATTCCAGCCAAAAAACAGTCCCTGCTCTTCCGTGTCTCGTAGCATGCCATCCTACTGGACTATACTGCCACGCGCAAAAGGACTTGCTCTTCATTCAGTTCACACCTGCCTAGGACAGTTACTTTCCACAGAACAGTGGTTCCCAACCTTTTTTTAATACCACAGACTGGCAAACCCATTCACAAAATGTTGGTGGCCATTTCACTTGCATATTCATTATACAAATAATGAATATTCAAATATGCAAATATTACAAGTTCACCAAAAGTTTGTCAGTGGTTTGCCAATAGGCGGTAAAAAAGCCCTGGCCCCTAGAGCCCCCCAGTGCTAGCCTGAACCCCTGTAGCCCTCCTCTACTCCTAGAGCCAGCCACTGATCTCAGAGTCCCAGCACCCAACAGCCTCTCACCCTCAGAGCCCCCCAGTGCCAACTCCCCATCCCAAATGCCCCAGTGCCAGCCCTCCACTGTCAGACCCCCCAGTGCCAGCCTCCTGTTTCCAGAGCCCACTGCACCCAACCCCTCAGATCTCCCTGTGCCAGCCCCCCATCCTCAATATTAGCCCCATCCCCAGTGTGCCCCAGTGCCAGCCCTGTTCTCATTGCCCTCTCACTACTAGCCCTGCCCCAGAGCCCCCCAGTGCCAGCTCCCCACCCCAGATGCCCCCCTCCCCACTACAATATTAGCCCCATCCCCAGTGTGCCCCAGTGCCAGCCCTGTTCTCATTGCCCTCTCACTACTAGCCCTGCCCCAGAGCCCCCCAGTGCCAGCTCCCCACCCCAGATGCCCCCCTCACTACTAGCCCCACTTAGAGCCCCACATCTTCAGCTTCATCCTTAGAGTCCCTCAGTGCCAGCCACCCAGCCCTTAGAGCTCCCCTACCCCTCTCACCTCACCCTGCGCTGCCTCCCAGCCATCATCTGAGCGTTGCTGCCTGAGTCCCAGCAGCCATGCTGGGCT